CTCGCAGGGATGAAGCCCAGGGGAATTGTCTCTGGCAGCTGGTTGTTGTCCCCTGAAGGGCTGGGAAAGGAACAGCACAATTTTCTGCCCAAGTTCAAAAGGGATGGGGTCATGGAATAGGAAGGGCAAAAATACTTTCAAACTAGATGGAGTCACACTGGAATTTCCAGTTTGATGAGGTTTGGCTGGGCGGGTCCCACAGACTCTTGCTGGTTTTGCCCAAGTGCTCTTCTTAGGTTCTGTCCTCCCCCTAATCCCAGTCTACCTTGCCTCACAGAAGCCAGAATGTCTTAGGCCCTCCTCACCCTGTTCCAGCTGCCCTCACTAATCCTAGTGCCTGGAGTTCCTCTCCCCAAGACTGGCTATGGAGTAGGGTACAGCCACCTGTAGAGAGGCCACAGACCTGATGGGAAACTTCCCCCCCCCACACTAAGCCTCAATTTCCTCATTGATAAAAAAGGACTCACCCTCCTTTTAAGGGTTTTACTAAGATCTCTATAGGAAGCAGTCAAATGAGTGTCGAAGTTAACACAGTAAGAGTTATAAAGGCTCCAGAAAGCCCACAGAATTCTTTTTTTTAAGTTAGTACATGTTTGCAGTACATAATGGTTACATTTATCATGGAAGAGTTTATTTTTTATATATATATATATATATATAGAACACATCTTAATTCTTTTTTCATCCCCTTCCCTTCCCATCCCTCCCTGCTCCCTCCAACTTTTTTCCCCTTTCCATTTGTAAAATTTCTTTTTTACCCCTTTTCTTTCCCTCTGTCTATCTCTTGTTCTCCTTCCCATTTGAAAAAGATCTCCCTACTTCCTATTATTTTCTTCCTATCTTTTATTTTGTTCTTCATTTATATTTTGGGTTTCTTGTATAAGAAAAACCATGTGTGGGGCTGGGGATTTAGCTCAGTGGTTCCGTTGCTTGCCTTGCAAGCACAAGGACCCGAGTTCAATCCCCGGTACCAAAAAAAAAAGAAAAACCATGTGATATTTAAACTTGTGTGTCTGATTTATTTCACTTAACATTATGGTTTTAAGGTGCATCCATTTTACCTATGAATGCCTCAAATTTAACCTTAATGGCAGACCAGTACTCCATTGTATATAAATACCACATTTTCTTTATCCATTCATCTGTTGATAGACATACAGTCTGTTTCCAAGATTCAGCTTTTCTGAATTGTGCTACTCCAAACATGGAAAGATATCTAGAAGGGGAATAGCTAAGTCAAATGGAATTTCTATTTTTAGTTTTTTGAGGAATCTCCATACTGATCTCTATAGTGATGGTACTAGTTTACATTCCCACCATCAATGTAGAAGAGTTCCTTTTTCCCTGCAACCTCACCAGCATTTGTTATTATTTGATTTCTTTTTTTTTGGTACCGGGGATCGAACTCGGGACCTTGCACTTGCGAGGCAGGCACCAGAACCACTGAACTAAATCCCTGGCCTATTATTTGATTTCTTGATGATAACCATTCTTTCTGGACTAAGATGGTATCTCAATGTTGTTTTAATTTGCATTTCTCTAATGGCCAGTAATATGGAACATTTTTCATGTATTTACTGGCCATTTGTACTTCTTCTGAGAAGAGTCTTCATTTTGGTTGCCCATTTTTTGACTGGGTCTTTTATTTGGAGGGGTTAATTTTTTATTTTATTTATTTTTTAGTTTTTTATGTATTCTAGATGTTAGTTCTCTGTCCAAGGAATAGCTAGCAAAATTTTCCCCATTCTATAGGTTGTCTCTTTGCTCTGTTGGCTGTGCAGAAGATTTGTTAATTTGTTGTGATCCCATTTGTTGATGCTCAGTAATATTTCTTGTACCATTGGGGTTCTGTTCAGAAAGTTCTTGCCTGCTCCTACATCTTCAAGAGTTTTACCTATTTTATCTTCCAGTAGTTTCTATTTTAATAGTTAGAGCTTTGATCCATTTTGATTTTAGTTTAGAATATGATGAGATACGTGTTGTCTACAGCCATACCACCCTGAATGCTCCCAATCTCGTCTGATGAGATATGTGGGTCTAGATTCAATCTTCTGTGTGGGTATAGCTAGTTTTCCTAGCACTATTTATCAAAGAAGCTATTTTTTCCTCCAGTGTATGTTTTTGACCCCTTTGTCAAAGATCAAATAGCTGAATGTGTCTAGGGGTTGTTTCTGTTTCCTCTATTCTGTTCCATTGATCTTACTGGCATATCTGTTTTATGCCAGTACCATGCTGTTTCTATCACTGTAGCTTTGTAATATAACTTCAAGTATGGGATCATGATGCCTCCCACTTTCCTCTTGTTACCTGGAATTGCTTTTGCTATTCTGGGTCTCTTCTGGTTCCATATGAATTTTTGGATTGTTTTCTCTAGATCTCTGAGGAATGCTGTTGATGTTTTGATTAGGATTGTGTTAAATCTACATATCAATTTTGGAAGTATAGCCATCTTTACTACATTAGTTCCGCCTATGCAGGAATATAGAATATCTTTCCATTTTCTGATGTCCTCTTCAATTTCTTTTTACAAAGTGATGTAATTTTCTTTGTAGAGGTCTTTCATGTCCTTGGTTAGGTTAATTCCTAAGTGTTTAATTTTTCTCGATACTACTGTGAATAGTATTGTTTTCCTGATTTCTTTCTCAGTGGATTATTAGTGTATAGGAGCACTATTGATTTTTGTGTGTTGATTTTGTATCCTGCTGTATTGCTGAATTTAGTTATTTTTAGTTTTTTAGTAGAAATTTTTGGTAGAAAATATATAGGTAGAAGATAATGTCATCTGCACATAATGATACTTTGACTTCTTTCTTTCTTATATGTATGCTTTTCTTTTTTCTCCTGCCTGATTGCTCTGGCTAATGTTTTGAGAACTATGTTGAACAGGAGTGGTGACAGAGCCCACAGAATTCTTGAAGTTCCTGACTACTGTTTATATGGACATACAGAAAAAAATAGAACTATGGCATTATCAAATTTAAAAAGCAAATTGTAGAAGAATCTAAATGTGTATATGTATGTGTATGCATTCATAAATGTGATTAGCTATTTTTTAAAAGGAGATTTAATAGTTAATGGTTTTATCCCTAGGGTATGAGATTAGGATGATTGGATTATCTTATTTTGTAAACTTTTGTTTAAATTTTTAAAATTGTTATATATTGCTATTACATATTCATAGATACACTGTATGTTACCGTTATTTCACAAATAACTACTGTAACAAATGAAACACAAATAAATCATACTAACCAGAACTTTCTCTTCTATTTCTTTTTCCTTTTATGCCAGAAAATATTATTTCTTTAGTTAGTTGATTAGTTACTGGAAGTTAAACCTGAGGCTTTCACATTAAGCTACATCCCTAGCCCCTCTTTAATTTTTTGAGACAGGATCTTACTAAGTTGCTAAATTGCCCGGGTTGGGCTTGAACTTTTATCCTCTTGTCTCATTCTCCCAGAGTGCTAGGAAAATGTTAGCTTATTCATTTTCCTTTCTTACCTCCAGCTACACTATACCCACCGCTAGAAAAACAGGAAAAGTAACAGACATAAATGAGCAAACCCTTGGGATTTCTCAGACTCAAAGAGGCTCATTATGGCCACGAAAAGCAGTCTTATTTCAAAAACCACACACACACACACACACACACACACACACACACACACACATCACTGAACAGGAAATGCCAGATTAGACCATTCCTGAATGCCTGGTCTCCAGGACAAAAAAACAAAACCCACCTAAATTTCCAATCCTGCAAAGGACCACAAAGACTTAAGAGAACACCTGCCTCCAGTCTCTGTCTTGACACTAGACAGTTGTATGACCCTGGATAAGGCCTTTTCCTTCTCTGGGGCTCCATTTCCTCTATTAGGTTGGAAGTGACAATGCCAATCTCTAAAACTATTGGGACTGTCAGATAAGGTAAAAGCACATTTTCACTTGTAAAATGCCCCACAAACAGTAAAGCTGAGCAGGAGGAGTGCCAGCTTTTCCACAAAGCTGCACCATTTAAAATTTTTTGCATGAAATGTATAGGCAGGAGAGGGAAGAGGGGAGTAAGGGGGGAAACTCAGCAGTTGGTATTTTTCTCCATCCTGGAAATACCAAACCACAAAAAGGAGGGTATGGGGTGTTGTGCATTCATAGTTTTGTATCTTATCTGCAAGTATTCTTTAGAACAGTGGGAATGGAGCACATACGGCATCAGATCCTAGCCTGGAGCTGTTCCCAGTGAGTTCTGAGACCTGCCAGTAGAATCTTATTTCTTTTTCTTTTTTTTTTTTTGGTACCGGGGATCGAACTCAGGTCTTTGTGCTTGTGAGGCAGGCGGCGAAACCACTGAGCTAAATCCCTGGCCCAGAATCTTACTTCTTAATTGCAGACATCAGGCTCAGGGCACAGGAAGGAGTGATAAAGAAGCTCTTACCTCTGCCCTTGGATTCTTTCCAGGGCATCTCAGCAGGCAAGGGCTGGCTGGGCAGACCACCCTGGGGAAACCAGGGGCACAGAGCAGGCAGTTATCTACAGGAAAGGGACCAGGGCCTGAGCCCTAGGAGCCCCCAAATCTGCTCCTAATCAGCTATAAGACGTTAGGAAAATTGTCATGGTGCCCTGGACTTTGTCTCCCCTCTGTAAGATGATGGAGTTAGACTAGAACAGGGCTTTTCTGGCTCCACAACCACGGTCATTCTGTGCTGGCAGGATAGGCAGTGGAGCTCCCAAACAGAGGCCCATTGAGAGCCAGGCCAGGAGCCTCTGGAATTCCCTCCAGCCTCAGCCAGAGACACAGAGTTTTCTACCCTCTGGTTCCCAACCTCAGACAACCCCTGTCCCCTGCTCCTAACCACACTGGAAATCTATGAAGTCATTTTCCCCTCCCTCAGAAGGAAAAGGGACAATGGAGGTGGGGGTGGGGTGCAGGGCAATGTGGCATGAAGACATGGGAGAGCAAAGAGATTACTCTGGAGGACCAGGATAGAAGACACAATCCCCGAGATCAGAAAAAACACAGTTTATTCAGAAAAGCATAAGGAACCACTACTAAGCTACTGAATAAGGCACACCAGTGCTCTCTCCCTTACTACCCCCACTCCTCCCAAGGAGTCTCTCCCTTGGCCTTTGCAGAGCACTGTCAAAATCATCTCCTGAATACACAAATGGTCCCAGATTTTTGGGCTAGGATCTGCCAGGGTGCCTTGAGGTGACCTGAGACCTGGGGTCAAGGAGGGAGGCCTGTAAGTATACCTCCAGAAGCCAAAAGTTCTGGCCAGATCAGGTGGCCATACTTACGGCACACAACCTTGGGAAGGAGGGTGGATACGGCCACAATCTTATCGCTCCTTCTCTCATCTGGCAGAGGGACTGCCAAGCCACTAGAAGCCAAGCAGGAAGGCACATCTGGAGGAGCCAGTAAGCTCCAGACTTGCTACAGGGAAGTCTGGATGGATTAAGGCACCATGAGTACCAAGATGTCTGCTCCTGAGTAAGGTCACCTGGCCACAGACCTAGGGCTGGGGGACCAAGAAAGAGATCTGAAGGGGCGGGACCTGAGCTGAGGATGCAACTTAGATGGTGATCTAAAAAAGGCAAAAGGAAAAAGAACAAAGGCTGGAACTAAAATCCATTGTTAAGGGTAGAGTCCAGAGTTCCATTCCAGGTATCTGGAATCTTGTGCCCAAATCACAGCACCAAAGGAATCAGGATTTCACTTGGGTTGAGGCTACATCAATTTTCCATTGGACGGTGTAGAAGGAGGCTGCTAGGCAGAGGTCACTGCCTTTCCCACCTGTTCCAAATACCAGTAAAGACACTGAAATTTTCTACTGGCCCAGGCCAGAATGGTGTTGCCAGCCAGGGCAGTGGGCCCAGGGAGAGGCCAGCTTGACCAGCTCTGGGAATCTCCATGGCCTCAGCAACACAGAACCCTGCAAGAGAAGAATGAAAGTCACTGGGCTTCCAAGGCACTCAAGTGTTCCAGCAAGGCTTGCCTCAGGCTCTGGCTGAGAACATCTCTGGTCAGACATGAGGGATCAGTTATTCTTCCTAGAGCACAATAGTGGAGGTCCAGCCTACCAAGACGTTAAAGTACTTGGGATTGTGGGGCTCAGTGTTCTGAGACTTGCCAGAGGAGAGAAAAAAGTAACAAAAATAATGAGTAGAGTTTCAGTTTTACAAGATTAAAAAAGTTTAGGAAATGGATAGTGGTGATGGTTGCATAACAATGTGAATGTGTTTAATGCCACTGAACTATATGGTTAAAATGACAAATTTTATGTTACACATATTTCATCCCAATTTAGGAAAAAAACTTTTTTGTTCTGGGATTAACCCCAGGGTGCCTAAGCACATGCTGTTCCACTGAGCCACACCCCCAGCCTCAGAAAAAAAAAAGTCTAAATAACTACATTAGCAATATCAAACATGTATTGAGTTACTACCATATATAGTATAGCCTGGTGCTAAAGAGGCCAGACTGTCAGGGCTCAAATCTGAGTTCCCCCACTCATTAGTAGAGAAATCTTGGACAAAGTTATTTAATCTCTCTAGGGCTCATTTTCCTCATATACAAAATGAGAAAAATACTAGAATCCATCACAATAGTATTATTGAATATTATTGAATACATGAAGACATGTAAAATAGTTCCATAGCTCCAAACACACAGCTGGGCTATGTTAAGGGCTACATGAAACTTACAGACCTGTTCTGCACCCCCATCCCAAAGACCAACTTCATAACCAGAGCAGGAAAACTCAACACCTTCAAGACTAAGTTTTAAAAACAAGCCCCCAGGGGCTACAAGGTGTAGCTCAGTGGTAGAGCACTTGCCTAGTAGACATGAGGCCCTGGGTCCAATCCCTGCAAGGAGTCTCCTCTATTATGGTTTCTAATCCAGAGAAGGTTGAGCTTTTTCAAAGAGCAGACAGACCTTTGAAGGATTTAGCAAAAAGAGTATTTTCACAACTCTATGGGCATTGTGGGTACTGTCATCCCTCCAACTTGCTCTGAATAAAACCTTTTTTTTAACTTTTTGAAAAGGAGCCTCTGTGCTTTTTATCCAAAAATCGATGCCCCCTTCCAGAAAACAAGAAAACAGCTTACCTTAGAGACAGGCTGGCTGTTCAGCCCAGCTCCAGAGATTTATCTTCTTTGGTAAACAGGGTGCACCCTGCCAGCTCACAATCTATGCCAGGATCTCCTACAGGTGACAGTCCCTTCAACTGGGAAAACATCTGGATGACCTTGGCTTCATTCTCCAACAATGTAAAAGAATGTTCGAGTTCACCAGTTCCCAAATCTATGGTTGGCAAGAGCCAAGCTCCCTCCTCACTGGGCTGGGTCCCCCATTAGAAAAATTCCCTTGGAAAGAGTTTCCAAAATCTTCAACAGAGCAGACTGCAGGAACAAGCAGGAATTGGGACAGCACAGAAATGCCCAGAACCTTGAGGTGGGAAACACCAATCAGGGCCCAGAACCAGTTAATACAGTAAACTAAATTATTGTGCTTGGGCTTCTAGTACCAGGGTCTCAGAGTCAACGCTGTGCTAATGAACATCACCAATTTCCAAGAAGGGGAGACAGTACCATTGACAACCCATTGGGCTTCCAATGGGCTTTTAGGTAGAAACAGCTCCTGGGTCAGGCTTCCTGGAACATTCCCTGCTTTCCTGTAAATACCGATGCTGCGGAGCCCAAGGTTCTCTTCTTAAGTTGGCTGTTCCCAAGAACAGACTCTAGGTCCCTATCTGTAACAAAGTGGGGCTGGGCCTCACCTTAACATTCTCTGACGGTGCTCTGGGATTCCTACTGCAAACATATTGAAGGCTGTGATGGAGTAGAAGTCTGGGAAAAGACTAAGTTACAGTGAGGCCAGGGAAGTTAGTGTGTTGGGACTGGCTTGCAAGAAGCCCAAGTGCAGAGGCAGAGCAGGAGGTGAGAGAAGACTCCAAAGATAGAAGGGTGTAGCCCATGGGTCTTCCTATCCATTCTCACCTCTGAAGCCTGGCCCCACCCCAAGACTTTGAAGCACCAGGGATGGGCAGGGAGGTGTTATGCAGGATCCCTACACAATCTCAAACTAAACCCAAACTCGTCACTAATCCCAGGACTAGCCGAGGCCTGCCCTCAGCTCTACCCGCAGCTGCCTGCCAGCCTTTTACAGCACCTGAGGCTGAAGAGGGGCCAGGGAAGGGGTGCTCTTTCGACTGCGGGACTGGAGAGGGGAGGGCAGTGGCGAAACCCTTCGTCTGGTTCTAACTTGGGAGCCTCCCCGGATCTACGCGGCGCCTGTCCACGTCTTGCTCTCAGCAGGGATAGGGAAGAGGAGCCGTTAAGTTTTGCCGAAGAGGGGGGCGGAGGGGTGGTGAAGGGGGGTGCTTCTGAGCTCGTGAGTCAGCCACTTGGGTGGCTGCGCGGGTCCCCAGAGACCGACAGCGCCTTCCGAGCGGTGGTCTGGAGTCGGCGCTGTGGTTTGCGGGGTCGGCTTGTCTAGGGTCCTTGGCGCGGGCGGCAGTGGAAACGCAGGGCAGGGCCAGAGGCCAGGGCGCGCAGGCCCAGGGCGGCGGGAAGGACCCGGATGGGTCCCGGTCGCCGATCCGGCCGCGGTAGGCGCTGGCGGCCTCACGCCACTTCCTGCTTGCCCTGGTAGCGACGGCAGCAGCCGTAGAAGGCCGACAGCAGGTAGAGGCCGAGGCACAGGCCCCCGCAGACGGCGGCCGCCAGGAAGGCATGGTAGGCGCAGGGCAGAGGGTAATTCTTCAGGTTGCAGTAGCTGTGGCGCTGCGTCTGGTCGATCATGATGCCCGTCGCGGCGCCGTAGAGAGCAGCAGCCAGCAGGTCGTGCGCAACGTTAACCACGAGCCAGCGCGAGCCCAGCACGGGTACCAGCTCGTGCTTGCCCAGCAGCGTGAGGAAGTAGAGACCCAGGGTCAGCAGCCAGAAAAGCACGGACACGAAGAGCGCGAAGTGCACGGGGCCCTGGTACTTGCTGGTGGCGATGGTGATCCAGAAGGAGGCGCCCGCCAGCAGCTGCAGGATCCGCAGCACGCCCAGCGGGCCGCGCAGGAAGGGCCGCTGCAGGCTCACCGCGCCGCGGGCCGGGCGCGCCTGGGGCGGCGGCTGGCGCGGTGGCGGCGGGAGCATGGCCCCCGGGCGCGGCGACGGCGGCGCCCCGAGCAGCGGAATGGCGGCGCCTGGCTCGCTCGTGGGGCGGCCTGGCGAGGTCCCGCTGCACCCTCCGCGGCCTTCGCCCCGGCTCCCTCTGGTCCTTTCTTCGGCTTCTCTGTTCGTCCCCACCCTCTTTCCCCTCGCTCCTATTCTCCTTCTCTCCACCCCTCCTACCCGCCCTTTCCCCTTCCCCTCCACGGTCTCCACCCCCTCTTGCTCCTCCCGGCTTCCTGCCACCCCTCTTTCCGTCGGCTCTCCACCCTGGCGGCCCCCGTTCTCCCGCGCGCCAGACTCCCTGCTCCGATTCCTTCATCCCCGGGGTAGGACGGAGCGCACCCTCGCCCCCTCGCTTGGCCTGCCTAAGCCACTAGGCCAAGCTTGGCACGCCTGGTGTCGCCCCTACGCGTCCTGCCTACGAACCCTGCCTGTCTTCAAGGGGGAGGCCGGCTTCTCGAGCGTTCTCCCAGCCTCTGACTGGGCCCCCTTCTTTCCCGTTTCTCTTGTAATTGCCCCTGTCGAGGTCCCCTGGCCCTAACTGGGCCGAAAGATAAACAGTACTGGCCCATGCCCATCGAAAGCTCATCCTGTCCTGCAGAGAGCTCAGACTGTCAGACTCACCATCGAGTTCCCAGGTCAGAGTAAAGGTTGACTCCCCAAGGTTCCACTACCCTCCCTCCACTGGGCACAAACCATAGCAACCCCACCCTCTTATCCAATCCCATGCTGGCCATCTTCTCATCTTCCCTGCATTAAAAACATGCCAACTGTTGTGGCCAGGACACAAACCCAGTCCAAGAGATAACAAGGCCACGTGCTTAACTATTTGGCCAGCCAGCCTGTGATGAGCTTAGTGATGCTTTGCATTAATAGTACTGTGCCAGTGCTCTTTGTGGTTCTCATTTAAGCCTCAGAACAGCCCTAGAGATAGAAAATTATTTCTCTCATTGTTGTGAACAGCAAAACAAAGCTTGGAGGGGTTCATTTTCCTGAAACTAGTGGTTATTGTTGATCTCTCTTCTCACCCCTTCCAATCCAACCTTTTGTTTTGTTGTTTTGTTGTTTTGTTTTTGTTTTTGTTTTTGAGACAGAGTCTTGCTACTCAGTCCAGGCTGTCCTTGAACTCATAGTAATCCTTCTGCCTCAGCCTGTAAAGTGCTGGGATTGTAGGCATATGCCACCATGTCTGGCCAGATCCAATCTTTATGTGCTTCCACAACCTTCTGAAACAGACCAGGTTGTTCATTTCACTGGTTTCCTCACTGACCACAAAATAGAGTCCTGTCTCTTCTAGGTGGCATATTTCACAATCTGTTCCCAACCAACTTCCAGCTGACTAGTTTTCCATTTCCTTCCTTATACACCATTTCCATTTCTTTCCCTTACACTTTCCCCCTGCACTCAGATGCCAACCCCACCAAACCCCCTAAATTCCCTAAATAAGCTCAGAATAATCCTTTCTAGACCCCACTTGGCTGGGAAACTCCTACTTCTTCAGTGTCCAGGTTAAATGCTGGCAGCTTGGGTCCAGCCGCCCCCCGAACCTCCAGCTTTTGATTACTTGCTTGCCTAGGGCTCCATTTGGATCATGCCTCTGCAGTAGTTCTGAGATCACCACAATGGTAACCATTGTTTATCGTGTCTAATCCATCTTTGCCTGGACCAGGGACATAGGAGACTCCCCCAAAATATAAGTGGAGTAGATTTCTGAGTGGCTGCAGGAACAGCAGTGGCACTGAGAGGGCCCTGCTTACCCTGGGACCTTGCTTGCATGGGGGTTCCAGGTGATCCTACACTGCAGAGCTAGTTTTTCATCTCCCAGTCATAAGATGAATCTGCCAGCCACTGGCCTGGCTAAGCAGGTCTCTTCCAGCATCCTGGATCCCTTCTGGAGAAAAATAAACTGGTTTTTTTTAGGGGGGGCTAATGCCTGTACTGCCAACTCAGCCCACATATGAGTGCTTGAGAAAGCTCCATATGTCTATTTTAATGAACAGATGGTGATGTTTAATCCCATGTTTGTGCAAAATAGCACAGCATGGAGGTTCAGGGTCTGGAGTCATATTGTCTACACATCATTGCTTCACTATTCCTGCCAGGACCTGGAGGAAAGGACTACTTAACCTCTTTGTGCCTCAGTTTCTTCTTCTGTAAATTTTTTGTTTTTTGGTACTGGAGATCGAACTCAGGACCTTGCACTTTCGAGGCAGGTGGCGGAACCACTGAGCTAAATCCCCAGCCCTGTAAATTCTTTTATTCAGCAAATGGATATTGTGATTGAGTACTTATTAAGTGCTGAGCATCATTTAGGGGCTAGGGATAAAAAAGGTATATGTGATTTCTATTAACTGAATGCCTACTATATACTAGGCACTATGACAAGCACTCTATATTCATTGTTCTACTTGATCTTTATACCAGCTCTATAAAATATTTGTTATTAGTTCTGATTCACTGATAGAGAAAGCAGCACTTATAGGTTTGGAGGAACTGACCATGTTCACAGAACCAGTAGGGACCCTTTTAGCAGGAGCCCAGTGGGACTGACTCCACACCCACATTCTAAGTACTTTTATGTATTTCCCACATTTTCTTTTCTCACAGGAACCCAGAAAGGTTAAAACACTTGCCTAATGGAATTCAACTTTTGTGGTATTTAATCATGATTATCAACTTGATTGGCTTGAAACACTTCTGGGTGGTTCTTGGGGCCATGAACTGGGGACTCCATCTGGTCCCTAGTTCCTTCCAACCTGGCTTTGTCCCTTCCTCTCAGCTTCCCAGCTGCCATCAGGTGGGCACCTTTCCTTCATCATGCCTTTCCACCATGATGTTTCTGCCTTACAGCCAGCTGACCACGAGCTGAAACATGTGAAACTGTGAGCCAAAATAAACCTCTCCTCCTTTAAGCTGTGTATGTCAGGTATATTGTCCCAGTGACGAAACACTGATTAACTCAATTTGTAAGTCCAGTGTTGGGACTCATACAGTTTCAGGGCTTTTCCTTCAGCATTCATTAGAACAGACTGGAGGGACATTCTCAGTCCGCTCTGGATGCTGATTTTCCCCAGAGCTGAGGGTCAGATGGGCAGCCAGGGACTGCACCTGGGTACTAGACTGATGACAAGATTTGTTTGTTTGAAACAAGGTCTATGTAGTTCGGACTGGTCTTGAACTCACTATGTAGCACAGGCTGGCCTTGAACTTGTAGCAGTCCATCTGTCTCAGCCTTCCAAGTTCTGGGACTACAGGCGTCGACACCACACCCGGCTGGTGCTGACAGGATTTCTGTGAGCAGGAGACCTAAGGGAACAAACTGTGAGAGAATCCTTTCCATCTTCTAAAACAGGCATCAGGCGCTGTGAGGGTCAGGGCGCCACCTGGTGGACATAAACTTTGAGCCTCAAATCAAGGCGCTCCTTACAAGGAAGATCCAAGCAGTGGCTTTGGGAGGATATTTTTAGCCTCTGGAATCCTGGAAGCATTCCAAAGGGCGGTGGAGCAGACTCTGGAAAACCATAACCATGCAGAAAGATCTTGATTCTGTCCAACTCAACAAATCTGGCATCTGCGCAAACACCTAGGTGTGGCAAGCAGAAATGAAGAGAATCTAGTCCCACCTATGTGTTTGCATGCTGCTGAAGTGGAGGGACTGTTGTGGACAAAAAAAAGAGGCATTGATGATGGTTATAAGGAAACCAAGAAAAGGGAAGGAGACAGCACTGTGAAGGAAGGACTGGGGAAATCGTCAAGCACAGGTGTCATTTGAGGATGCATAGAATATGGACAAGCAGACACTGGAGATAGCACTTGTTGGGAAAAGCGATCCCTGAATGCTGTTGCTGGGTATGCCAAGAATGCAAGGGCATATCGGTTCTTTACTCAACCATTCCTCAGGGCTGTGTTTGCAGCCAGCAACCTGGAGAGATGAGGGAAGTTCTTCCTGTGAAGAGCAGGGGTGCTTATAATAGTAATGGTGGTGGTGGGAGCAGCAGCAGGCTCCTCATGTTCAGTGCTTCTTAGCCAGGTCACAAATGTATGTGTAATGTCCATCTTGGTCTCTCTATGTTGCCCCTGTGAGAACTGAGGACAGGGGAACAGGCATAACTATGATGCTTGTTATGGCTTGTGTTTAGATGTCCCCTCTAAGTCTCATGAGGTCACTGTGGGGCTTTTTCAGAGGTGGCTGAGTCTAGAGTGTGTGATACTGGGATTAAGGTGTGTTGTTACTGATTGGTTTGGCACTTCCCTAATCCTGGTAACCTAGATAGAGTATAAAACAGGCAGAAAGAAGCTGCTAAGTTCCCTTGTTGCTTTGCTACCTTCAGTCCAACATGAACTGCTGCCCTCTGCCATGTGCCACCCTGCCTTGGAGCCAGCCAATTGTGGACTGAAATCTCTATGAACTGTAAGCTAAATAAATCTTTTCCCTTTTAACTTTGGGAGCGGGTATTTTGTCTCAACAATGAGAAAAGTAGCTAAGACAATGTTCATGCTGTTTTTTCTTTTGACTCAGGAATCCAGTGTCACCTACAGGCACCAATGATATAGCACTAGACTGACTTATTCCCTTGTCAGTGGGGTGAAATCCTAGTTCCTGCTGCCTGACAATTCTAGGCAGAGGGAACCGTGTGAACAAAATCAGAGCCTAGAATGCTCAGGGGACAAGAATAATGTTGGTTGATTCTCTAAGCCCCAATGCAGTGACTCTCGGTGTGGACGGAAAGGAAGACCAGAAGCATGTGACAAGGAGGAACACATTGCTCACAGTGAAATATCATGACCAGCACTTACTGTTCAGAGTGAGACCCTGCTCTATCTTCAGTCTCCAGGCTATTGTACAAGTACTGAATTATGGACTCAGCTCAAATTTGTTTAACACTCATTATGTATCAGGCCATGGGCTGGCACTTCACACAAATCCACTGAGCACAGAGGCAATGTGTATAGCAAGAAAGGTGGGTGCCAGGACCTGCAGAATCCTGCCTTGAATCTTATGATTATATTACTAAATAAACATTCCCTGGACATCTACTATAGACCTGGCGGTGTGCTGTAATTGTATGCCTGAGCTGGAAGAAGCCAGACAGACAATTTTCTCTAGGCTTCTCATTTTGCAGAGAAGGTAACCAAGGCCCAGCAAGGGGAAGTGACTTGCCCCAGGTCACACAGATGTTAGATGATGG